GGTATTTCATGCTTTCCTTGTATCACGTTCATTCATTCCTGCCACAAGCAACTTAAGAGTTTCAACAAGTACAGGAATCCACTGGGATGGGGAGAAGACGGTATTTAGAGGCTTGCTTTTGGGAATTGGCTTATAGGTAAAGTAGATCTGTATTAGAATAATGGTCCAGGGCAACGGCAAAGGCTAATTGATTTCTAAAAACCTGGTTGTCACACAGTTTCACAGCCTTCAGGGCAGACAGGAATAGACACACAGACTGGGAAATTGTAGGTATGTACCACGCTGTTCCCCAACATGAGATAAGGTGGCTCCAGCTCACAGTGCCCAAGTGCAGAGCCCTTGAGATTCCCAGTTTTGGGGAACAGACCAAATTAGGAGAAGCCTAGGAAAGTCAAAATTAGGATGTGTGCATGTAACGGGCTTGTGAAACAAAGGAATGCGCTGTTAGGACAGAACGTGGACAACATGACAACCACAGAAAAACCAGTCAGCAATGTCTACGGATAAAGAGTCATCAGGAGTGGAAAATAAGACATGTGACAAGGGTCTCATGCCAGCCTACCCACCTGTCCCTCTGGGGCAGGCCACCCAGTCTTGTCTGGTTGCTCCTGCTTCAGCTTAGCCAGGCAGTGTTTCTGCCCGGGCTCCCAGCAGCAAACTACTGTTCTCATATAGGCAGCCAGTGCTTTGAAATGGCTGCCACGATCAAGCACCTGCTGGCTGCTTGGCTCAGCCCTTAAAGCAGCAGGCCGTGGCCCTGCAAGTGCACTGTCGCAGTACAAAAGAAGGAATTTCAGAGCAGCAAAGGGAACCCAAGGCACCATGGACATGGGGCACAGCACACAACCCGTCTCCTTCACCCCAAGCCCTGGCCTTGGTTTCCAACTGGCTGCTGACACCTGACAGTCAAGAGAGAATCCCAGAGCAAAGCTCACATCCTGGCTAGACACACCTTGACTCTGATGACAGCCCTGGAACTGGTAGCTATAGAATGGCTTGTATTATTATTATTATCTGCTATCATGTATCAATAAAATTTGCCTCTCATTGAATGGAAAGGTCATGGTTGGTCTGAGTGTTTGGGTCTGCCCAGAGCAAGGCATCTGGGTCATAAATCCAGTGCCAACACCCTTTACCACACTAACCCTCAGTTCTCCCTTGCTACACATAGACATGGACTGTTACACTGAGAAAGGTTTCTCTGTATTTTGAGAGATTATCAGCTACGGTATTGCACAAAATATTCAGCAGTGCAAAACAGACAAACAGTGTATACTGATGATCCTGAATCTATAATATAATTGCAAATATTTATATATATTTAGGGCCAGATTATGACTTGGACCACATACCCAGCTGGAGGGTTGGGGGGAGTAAAAGTTTCCCCTCCATTTCTACGTGGGCTGCCCAGATGTTGGGTCCGGCACACAGGACCAAAGAAAATTATGGATCTACCTAGTCTTTTCTCCAGAGTGGTTAGGTAGATATCAGCTCCAAGTCCTCCTTCCCCCCTCCCTGGTCAGTAAAGCTGGGTCAGAGAAGCAGTAACGAATTCACTGCTGCCCTCAGCCAGAGACAGATCAGTTCCCTCCTGGCGAAACCAGGGAAACCAGAACTGCAAATTGTAAGGACTGCTTCTGGGGTTCTTCAAGTGACGGAGCATCCTTTTCTGGGCCGGGTACCCAATGCTGCACACAAGCCCTCAAGCCAGCGGTTTAGAAATACTCAAGCATCCCATAAATTTCCCCTCGGAGAACTAGGGCACTGAAACAGAGCAGAAGCTAGGAGTAAGAATTGGCATTTTTAAAAAGAACCTAGGTTGCATTTCCCAGAGCCAGAGGCCATCATAAACATTATCTAGAAAATAACATTTATCTGGAAGAGAGATAATGTGATGTCAGTGAAAAGCCTCTCTGAGCCATGTTTGCCTATGTGCCTCAGGTAGAGGATTTCATATCACCTGTATTTATTTGAACCAAATCTATCATTTACTTAGCAACCTTTAAACCTCATGGAGAAACATAAACCAAGCTTTGAACTTCCCTACTGTTTTTAGATCAGTGCAACCATCACAATATCCCGGTCAGTTTGTTATACAGAGACAGATGTTATGAGAATTATAAATTATTCTTGAACACTAATGCCCGGATTCATAATGCAAAATAGCAGAAACTGTCTTTGTCTAGGTTTCAACTGCTCAGTGGGCACACATTTTACATCTTCTTATGCCCTTAAGGCTTGCCTAGGCACAAAAGCTTTGCTGCTCCAACAATACCACTATCATTAAAACAGCCCCATCCCTCCAAGGGAATTACAGTTCTAGTGAAATAAGGGGGCTCCATGCCAGGTTGCTGTTCCCATAAGGAAAGGGGAATAAGGCCAGGCAGAGGCCTGGAAGGCTTTGCCAGTATACCTCTGCCAGCATATTATATTCAGCAGGCATATTATATATCGGGGCATTGTCTGGGAAGTCCGTGCTATTGCATCTTGTTTTGGTGTAAAGTTTTTCTCTCTCTCGAGTTTATTTACTGTAAACTACCCTGAGCCTCTTTTGAGGAGGGCGGCATAAAAATCCAATAAAGGCCAAAATAAACTGGTTCAACATTATGCATAAGCCTTGATCATCAGCTCCACAGTGAAATATGGTGGGAAAATCCTGCTTTGCTCTGCTTATACCTATGAGCGGTTGGGATGTCCTGTCCTGGCTACAATACTTTATTGCAGGAGTATGTCCACACAGCATAGTCCAGTGCCATGTAGAACCCAGCTGGCTCCAAATGGGGAAGCCAGGGGAGGAGTGCAATGCTCCGCTTAAGCTCACTAGTCCTGCTGAGTAGCAGGGCATAAAGAGAGCTGTGATCATGATACCCTGTAGCTGCTGGGGTCTGAGACGTCGTGGATTTATGCTTTGTAGACATACCCTAGTTGTCTCCTCGCCTAGTCTCTCTGCTCTCCTGCCCTCTATAAAAGAAGAACTAATACAATTTGGGCAGCTGCGTTGCAATGAGTACTGCCCCCCACATTTTCTTTTTTGGAGGGTCTACAAAAGAAACCCGCCTTCTCCTTTTTTTTGCTAGCAGAACTGGTCCTTTAAGAGGGATTCAGGTTCCAGCTCTTTATGTTCCTGATATAAGAAAGGCATTTTTATGAGGATTTGAGTTCTGAGGCTCCACACGCCACCGACTGAATAACTGATTGACAACTCATCACCTCCTGTATCAGTTCTCTGGAAAAAGGAAATCCCATGACCGAATAACTGATTGACAACTCATCACCTCTGTATCAGTTCTGCGGAAAAAGGAAATTCCATGTTTGCTAGCAACAAGGAGCAGTAACTAGTGCCAATTGTTGATAGCTTCTGCACAATTAAGTCTTATCTCACCATGCAAGACCCATTGCCACAGAATATCAGTCTCTCCAGCAAATATCAATGAGCTGTATCGTTGTAAAAGAGTTACTGTATAATCTGTATCGGAGTCATTGCCGGCACATCAGAACGAATCCAGATGTCTTGGGTATTCTCCGGGCATTTGTTTGTAGCATTTCCAGGGAGGAGTAGGGATATTGCACGCCCAATGTTTTGTTATCTAATGTGGGTCTAAAGAGAGCTGTTGTCTTGCAGTAAAGGAGCCTGGCTAGGATGCAGGACACCCGAGCAAAGTTCTCATTTACACAGGCTTCCTGGGTGCCCTGGGGTGCACTAGTTAGGCCCCAAGCTTACAATAAACTGAAGTCAGTGCTGTGTATGCTGTTGCTACATACATGTGCAACGTGAGCTCCACATGGCTAGTCTCTATGACATAGAAAAGGATTGTCAGAGGCACTTGAGGCTTTAATTATCAGTAATGAGAGCTGGGTGCTCTGGTATTTTTTAACACATTCTTCCCCCTGTTGTTAGGCACCGAAACAGCTTTGAAAATCTGGTCCTGAGGCACCTTTGAACATGTAACCCACATTTTAGCTAAGATGAAGCACATCCATACATCTAGCTCCACTTGTTGCAATAAAGGGGGGGGGGGGAAGAGCATTGAAATTACATTGTTTGTTTCTTCTTGTTTTGACAGTATTTAAACCAAGTTAATGATCTCTAATTATAGGAAATCTGCAGCTCCTTCCAGCTTTATTTAAATGCGGTGCAGATGATTCTTTCCTGTTCGTTGCAAGAAGCAATGCTGCCACCTGTTGTGGAAAACGGTCTGCTAGACGGAGGAATGTGTATCTCAGGATTATTGTTTCTGGAACACTTTCTAGAATCAAATGCAGAGGGATGCAAAAAACTGGAAATCAGATCTCCGGGGTTCTGCTCAAAGCAGTGCTACTGACCTTGGACTACCTGCTTAACCAAGCTGAAAGGCAAGGTAAGAATAACATGATGTATTATATTGATCATACTAAGGAGAATTGAAATGACGCCAAACCTGCTAGCAGTGGTTTTCACTTCATGCTCGTTCATACAAATGATGTCCAAACCAAACCATACAAAGTTTTATCCCATACTTTCATTGACGGTAACTTGTCATTATTTGGGGATTCATTGATTTTTTTTTTTTTTTTTTTTAAGGCCAGGTTAGAGCATTGCAATCATCCCCCAAAAGCTCAGTGTCTTGTTACAAAGTTCAGTAGTGAGGACTGAGAACTTAGGTCAAAATGCCCAAGAATTACCAGTAAAAACAGCCAAACTCCCATTCCCAGTTCGCTATTCACATTTTCCTGGCTAGCCTTCCAGCCTGGACAGGAGACTGCTTCTGTTATATGATTCTTAGGGTAGCTCAGTAGGCTCAGATGTCTTCCATGAATGTTTTATATTAATACATTAGCTTGCTTTACTTTTCACTCCCCATGAAATATTCAGGGACTGAAGTGAAAGCCTCACAGGGTGGGTGCCAGTTAATAACCAGGTGCTCTGTTCCACAGAAAGATGGCTCATCTTATCTTTATTATATACATTTTCTTGAGTTGGTCTTTCTGCATTGGGGATTTGCAACTTCAACTTCAAAGCAATGGGAATTGTGAGAGTGGAGTCAACTGTGCAAGAAGAGAACAGAATCGATCAGTCTGTCCGGCAGGTACTTGAAAAATAGACCAGTAACCATTTGCTAAGAATTATTTAAATGCTCCCACAATCCCCGTTCGACAGATTTAAGAATTGCAAGTAAAGCCATCTAAATGGCATTCAGTATATCCAGTTTTCTTGGAAACCTGTTCTTTTCTGTTGTTGGCTAAGATTTTGGAATAAAAAATCAGGAGACAGACAGATTTTTCTTCTTTTTTTTTTCTCATAGAGAAAGATATCCATTGGAAATCCTGCTGTGGGGGGAATTCACCTTACCACACCTGGGAGAGAGTGCAGTTTTTAACATGTTTAAGAGTCTGCATTATTTTTTGGCTTTTGAAAGACATGCATGGTGGCTGTATATTTCTGTGGGCAGGTTCTTCAATTGTGCTATGACAATTTAAACCACCTGAGGATTTTGCCCATGATATATATATACACATATATATACGGTTTGGTTTTTTTTGAGAACTACAATTAAATGAGTGGTTTTAAATTTAAATAAATGCATTTGTACTTGCTTGGCTCTTCAAAATATTTTTGCATGCGTAACCTGCATATTGCAATTACAGGACAACACGATTTTTATTGTGGAAAGTTTGGATAAATGCTTTTGTGCGGTAACAGTGTGAACTGTGAATCTGAGGGATACTTTGGTATAAATGATCACTGCACAGCACCCAGACTTTTCTGAAAATAAAGCACTTGCCACTCTTGCTGAACTGAAATGTAATGCTAAGAACACTCTAAAAAGCCCTAGGAAAACTTTTTCAGCCAAAGAATTGGGATGCATTTGTTAGACTGCAGTGTCATTATGTGCATCAAAAAACAGAACTCTATTGTAATGACATGGCATTTTTACTGTAGCTAGTGCTACTCCATAATTAAAGTTATGCAGTTAAACTAAGAATCATTGAATATTATCCCTTGCTCTTTTTCGAAGGTTTTTTCTGCCCAGAAGGAAGCATCACACCAGTCCCTTGCCCAGCAGGCACCTTCCGTGCCATGGACGGACCTCCTGCACACACCTGCCTGAACTGCCCCGTGAATTTCTTTAATCCCAGACCTGGACAAGAGGCATGTCTGCCCTGTGGCTCAGCAGCTGTGCAGCCCAGAGAGGGTCAAGAAACATGTGTCTGCCTTGGAGAAGGGCAAGTGTTCCAGGTACAGGACCAGAATATAGGACTGAAAGAGGCCTCATGGGTCACCAGGTCCATTTTGACTCATTTTACTCAACAAACCATGCTAAGCTCCTCTGTTGTTTCCATTTTACGTTGGCTTTTAGAATGCATTTACACATGAAAGGGAGAAATGGGCAATTCTGGATAGACACAGGCATTGGGCAAGTACCATATTCACTTCTAGGCAATGGTTTGCCAAAGTACTCGAACTGCTGCTATATCAGTCCTGAGCCCTTGTAGAATGTGGCAAATGCACTTGAGTCCTTACCCAGAGCACCCTCTGGTGCTCATAGCTATCGCTCATAACCCATAGGCTAACCTATGTTAGCCTGTAGGCCCTCACTTTATCCTGCTGGTATACCTGGTAGGTATTACACAATATATATTTTTCTCTGGTGTTGACACCCTCTAATCTGTTATCTTATTCCCAATTACACAGCTCCCCTTATTCTCCTATCCCCATACAGCCGCATCACTGGATCAGTAAATTATTCTGAGTTTCTCTTGTTTGTAACCCTCTGTCTACTCTGTTAGAAAGTAAGGTGTCCATATTTGAATGCTGAAGGACCAAATGTTCATCTGGCAGCTAACGCGAGATCCTGACATACCCGAGTTAGAGACGTTATTTTGCATGGAAGACCACAGATTCTGAATAAATATCAGTTTCTTCTTGCAGCCAAGTGATGCTTTCTGTCCCTGTGCTCCGGGTTATCGGAGCATAGAAGATGAGATGAGATACTGCATCAGACAAGTATATGACATCTGTAGAGATGGCAGTTCCCGAAACCAGGAAGGACAGTGCCTGACTAAGAAAGAATGGACTCGTTACTGCTCAGATAAGGTAGTGTCATTTTTCTATTAGCTAACTCTTAGGACCATGCAGGACTCGCTTTAAAATGTACTCCTTATCTTTCTGATTCTTACCGCAGCACATAAACAATGCATGGAGCAAGCATCACTGGAGTTTTTCCAACAAGCTTTGCCTCACATTATATTGCAACTCTTCATTCTGAAATACAAAGTACAGATTTCCATCCTGGCAACACACATCTCCCTGCTTTCATCTTGGGTTTTTCTGTTTCTCCTAGAAGTCCTGATTAGGGCCTCGGCAAATAGTGCCTTCCAATTCTTCTTGGGCAGTATACTTATTTTCTTTTTCCAGGTTTGTGCTGTCCGTGAAGACTATCAAGGCTATGACAAGGTCCTTGGCCTCTGCATTTGTCGCATAGATGATCTGGACAGGGTGTGTAACTCACAGTGTCGAAGGCAGCAAAGAGATATTCTGCAGGTTACTTGTAAAGAAGGGAGGGCTCAGCTTGCTGTCTCTTACAGAAATAAGAGCCAGGTAAAAGTGCTGTCTTTATAACTTTCACATCTATTCACATTCTCTTCAAAGGGCCTCCTCTTCCTTCTGAGAGAGGATGCCTTGGAAATTGTCAAAAAAACCAAGAATGGATTCTGCTCTCACATATGTCGGATTTTTTGTACCTGGCCTTATATTGCAACAATAGCTTATGCATAAGACTCCAAACTTAGAAGCTTTTTCTTTTCAGATTGCCATTTCTCTGGAAAAATTAAAGACGGCACTTCATGTGTTATATTTTCCTGACAAAGATGCTTGCACTTTGGAGCACAGTGATTCTTCCCATCCTGTATACGTGGTGAAAACAAGTGGTAAGGACAGGGATGCTTGATATTTCATAGGTGATAGATGGTTTTAACAAACAAGGTACATGTCAAAATAGCTTTCCCAAGAGGTTTAATTCAGCTTTCTATAGACTGCTGATATGAAAATCAAGTTTAATGTGTCAGCACTCGAGACAGATGTACCAATTAAGTCCCAGGAAAGACCAAAACTTTTCCAAACTTTCTGCTTCCCTAAGTTGTGAAACACCAGGTGTGAAGAACACAAAGTCTGCAGGTCAAAAGATCACTATCATCTGATCCCTTATTTGTAGAGCCACTATTTGAGATGCTCATGCCTCCTATTTTAATGTGATTTTTAGCAAGGGGTATTAGACGTATATGTGCGTACACCCCCCCACACACACCTCTACATATTTTATATATATTCACATACATACATGCGTGTGTGTGTGTGTGTCTCTGTGTGTG